TATGATGATAATGAGTGTGGCACTACAAATTTTCTAACGAAGTACATGACTATCTACCGTACCAATATCTCTATGAAGTTTATCTGTGATAGTCTTCTGTCCGTTGCCAGATCCATAGTTGTAGTCACGTTTAGCAATCTGCCACACGTGAGTGTCTATGGGCACGGCCTCTGCCTTATCCAGGGACATCAGACAAACACAGTCTGCCACCTGAAGGAGAAACATTGCCTTAATTGTATCGAAATAACAAAAAAATATGAACTAAAGGATTATTTGTATTGCAGTACGCTACTCTACCTTGGTGCCGACACCAGGAAGGGTGCGCAAAGCATCACGGGCCTGCAGATATGGGGCACTGCGCAAACCTTCAAGCCACTGGATCCCATGAGAGTCTAAAATCTGCTTAGCGCTCTGCTGAAGGAACCGAGCCCTGTACCCAAAACCAAGATCCCTGAGCCGTGCCTCTACGCTGGTGTCTGCCAATTACAGAAAACAACACAAGCATTAGGGGTCGACCGATTATCGGCCTGGCCGATTATCAAGGCCAATATTCCGCATTTTACAGATTATCGGTATCGGCCTTTTTTTAATCAAATTGCCGATACAACTTTGGCTCTGATGTGGCCGTTTCTCTTCTCTTCACCACTGTTCACCAGCGCCATATAGACTGATTCTATCTATATGGCGCTGCTGTTCATGAGCAATGTCCCGCCCACAGCGCAATCTGATAGGCTATTACTGAAGTGTCAATCAACACTGAAGATTCTCCGGGCTGCAGCCAGCCATAGAGGCGGGACCTTCTCAGATTACAGGCAGGTGCGAAGAACGCAGACACAGGCCGTTTCTCAATCGCGAGGAAACTGGCTTCCAAGCCACTATTTCAAGGATACTACGTCATCGAGTGCCGCCGAAGGACTGTTCCAATCTCCAGCATACTTGGAATTCCACAGAGGCCGCGTCCTTGGTTTGGGGGTAATTTCGAGGCTTCACATGGGTAGACTTCGCGTCCTTCAAATCCCCACAATGCTTTGCGCACGGACCAATTTCCCCAAATCTGTGGTGGAAAAAGTAAGGCGGGGCCTCTCATATGACGCACACTTGCTAGCCTGTTCCACTCTTCGTTTTCCGAATGCCAGGAAGGATTCTTGCCTAGCTTCTGAAGCAAGTGACTCGGAAGACATGGCTACCAAGCAAGCATCCTGGCGATTGAGAAACGGCCCAAGTCTTTCAGCCGCTCATGGCTTCCTCTTTCTGCCACGTCCAGGTAGTGTAGCCACTGTTCCTTTAACTTTGAACGTTGGAAGTACGCTTGTCTGAACACATTGAGGATGCTTCTGTAACAAAATGATTTCCCAAATTGGGATCAATAATATTTACAGTGTTAATTGTTTACTGTATTACTTTTTAACTTGATAAAGCGTAATGTGAAAATACTCCAGTAAAGTATACTGTAACTCAAATTCATTACCTAAGCACAGGACTCTTCGATTTACACACGGCATCTATTGCACGTCTGTCCATCCTGGGAGAGGGATCCCTCCTCTGTTGCTCTCCCTGAGGTTTCTCCCATGTTCCCCTTTAAACTGTGGGTTTTTCTCTGGAAGTGTTTCCTTGTACGATGTGAGGGTCTAAGGACAGAGGGTGTCGTTTTCTCATACTGATATTCTGTACAAACTGGGCTGTTATATTTGTTGTAAAGTGTCCTTATTGCAAAGTATTTTTACTGTATGTACAGCACTTTGGCTTGACCAAAAATCGTTTTAAAAATGTGCTAAATAAATAAAACTTGATTTGATCTGATGACTTGAGTAAACATTTAGTTGCATTCCAACATTGTATAAAACAATTAAAACATCGCAAGTTGGGGTAGTGAAAATGTTTTGTAATATTACTGCTTTAACAATCACAAATTTAGTTTTTTCACTAACTATTTGTCCTATAAACTGATATTTCAATGTTAAAGGCAGAAGAACCAAGCTGTGACGCTCTCAACCAGCAAGGTCTAAAAACTGTTTGCTTCAGTCAGCCGCACCAGTAGGCTGCAGCACCTCTCCTTTTATGCTGCAGCATCTCGACCTGCAGAGTAACGCACTCAAATAATAAATAAATAATATACACCACAGAATCTCAGGTTATACTCTAAAAAGATAAGATACTATAATCTAAGGAAATGGCTCCTACAATTATCTTTGAGCAAACACCTATTTGTAAAGCTGTTCCTGCTGGTCTGCGCTCCTCTCAGCCTCTCGGCTGTCTCAACAGGAATAAGATGGCCTAAAGAGAGTAGCTGTCCCATGTTAGGAAGGTAAACACACCTCTGTTATCCACTGACACCATTCACTGACCTCTGTCTCGTGAAACCAAACATACTTCCATAATATTATTATGTTATCATCTGCATACGACGTTATGTGTCTTCTTTGTGAGCATTCACATTTCATGTTTCATTGTCTGGAGGAAATTGTGTAGGGAAATGTGAGAGAATATGAGGTGAAGGGGTTTCATAACTAGAGCATGAGAGTTTTCAAAGCCTGTATGTTGTAATTGTTTTTTTACAGACACATCTTACTAGTTATTACTGATAGATTGCATCATACTGTCATGTAACGCATTTTTGTGGTTTGGTCCCCTCTCAGCAACAACAATATCTACTTTATGAAATGTTAACACAATAATAGACAGTGACATTGACAACATGTATGATCACCACTACACAGGGGTTGATGTATCGATAGGAACCTTTTATATTTCATATTTACTCAACAAAGATCCTGTGCAAACAGGTCACATATACATTTCCTGTTATTACAACCGCAGGTTTTATCTTATCCGACCTGCCCTGCCCTCCTTTGTTAGAAAAGAAGACTCTCTTAAATGCTTTGAAGTGTGACAGGAGAAAGCTGTTGCAAATGCTGGAACAGCAACTTTTTATTGCACGATAGTTAAAAGGGCATGCAAGGATTTATACTTCCTGATTTACAAACAAGCATTTTTGTATCAGCTGTAAAATGCATGGTCAGAAAGCTGAACACTGAGAAACCCAGGATAAGTCAACTCTTTAGGCATGTGGTTCAAACAGGACAGCAGCACTACAAACAGAAAATGATCTGATAGAATATGATGCATTGCTGCAGATTAAACTACTGAATAGTATAAAGGAGTTCAAATGAGCCCAACCATAAACATCTACAGCAGTAACATGCAACATACAAACTAATAAGCAGTACTGTTTGTACAGAAACAACAACGGCCGCTGGCGACCGGCTCGGTTCGCTGACGGGCGGACGTACTATGATTCTCCAGAACACACAGATGGCCAGTCCGCCCCCTGTGTAGCATATTATTTTCGATGACAGATGAGCAGATCGCCACTGGGCTTTCAACTAAAGACACAGCCACGCAAAAACTGCGGCATGTACAGCTCCTTATGGGTACTGCAATGTGTGAAGTGCGCTACACCCCTGGTCGTTTCACCACGGAGGAAGGCAGCAGAAAGTCGACTGGAGTTAAAGAGAGCGGGGCCAAGAAGTTATCCTTATGCGCTGCGCTGCGTGCATGGCTTCCTTCTACAGGGGGAGACGTGCTCTGCTGGCGGTCTCGTTCAGGATCCGAAAATACAATTTAAATATTTTGCACACTTATTCCTCGTGGTTACGGCCCCCCAGGGGTTGCCGACCCCTGCTCTAGGATAACCCCCTGTTTTCTCTTTTTTCTATTCAACTTAATATGAATAAAATGAAAATACATGTGAACTGAGGGTTCAGTGTCTTCTTCAAGGACACTTCAACAAGGAGGAGGCGGGTATCAAACAGCAAACCTGTGATTAGGGGAAGACCTGCTCCACCCCTGAGCCGCAGCAGGCCCAATACAAGTGAGTCAGACTGATCTGTGTGTGACTCACTGACAGTAAATGTGATTTTATGAGTCTGTTATATAACTTTTTAGTATTGAAAACTTCATGTAAAACCCCCATGACTCTCTCAATATTTGAATTCAGGAGTCAATATTTAATATGCGGCAATTCCTTAAAAAGTGTGTCTAATGATTTAATACAGTGTTAGTGTTATATTGCTGTCAGGACTCAAAAGAAGGCACATGTTTATCAGAAGTGATCTGGTTCCATTGCATTTCTAAAAGTTTAACAGGTCGGAAATAAAATATAAATTCTTCCTTAATGTTGCAATGGATAAACAGACCAAAAATGAGCACTGTTAGTTGAGTACTTGATCATTTATGGAAAAGTCATTTAAACACCTATTATAAAGGAATGATTATGTCACTGCAGTATGGTAGTGAAAGTAGCATAACCACTGTAAACATACTCTAATGCTTAACTCTAATTAAGATTTTATATTTTAAAGTCCAGCCATTTTCTCAATTATTTACTCAAGTAAAAACAATGTGGGCAGTGTATTATTATGTATTATTTTACATATTATATAATTGGAGTAATAACACTATTCATTATATGTGAAACGTGTAACGACATGCAACAGTATCTGTTAAACACATGTGAAGTAGTAAAAATAACAACATTAGTTGAGTAGAAGTACAAATATCATTACATCGAAATATTCCAGTAGTAAAGAACAAGTACTGCAAATGTACACTTCAGTACAGTTCTTGAGTACATTTGTAATGAGTTAATTTGCACCATGTTTGAACTGTATGTTATAAACAATATTCATATTATTCTTAAGTAAAAGTGTAGTAATACTACTCTGTGAAAATGCTAGTAAGTAAAAATCCTGCATTCGCAAACTTTACATAAGTAAAAGTATGTTAGTGTTCTGCTTAAAATGTAAAAAGTAAAAGTATACTCATTATGCAGAATGGCTTTATAATCATCTTATAATTCTGTTCGTATCCCTAATGATGTGATGTCTGTCGAGGAATAACTAGAGAACATGTATTTTGGAATATTGGATACTTGTGTGCCACTGTGAAGATTAGTAGTAGTACTGCATCATATCGACATTCAAATGCTGTTGCATCAATGTATGACTGTTGATGCATCAAATAAGAACATACTGCTCAAATAAATTCTGAAGCAAATATTTCTTTACTTATTCATAATAGCAATCTTGAAATAAAAAAATTGTGTGGATTGCTTTTCAATTGTAGGGTTGCTACATTTAATTGAAGAACTTCACATATTTTCTAAAGTGCTAATAGACAAATTATTTTTTTCTATTATCACTAGAAAAAATAATAGGAAGTATTTCTTCTCGCCACAGGGGAGAAAAAATACATTTTTAATGTTCAATTATCAAAAGTCAACAGCACTCTTGTGCAGAATGGGCTGTTTCAGAATATTGTACAATATATAACTACATGAATAGCCTAGTGATACATTCATTAGTTTATAACTTTAATATAACAGCTATCAACAGGGAGGAGCTCATTTCAACTCCTTATTGGGCAGCTTGGGAATTCCCCCCTAGGATTGATTGTAATTTTATGTGACTATGATGTTGCATCATCATTTATTTAACTCTATTTCCGTTATATTAATAGCCTTATCTGCAACTCAAAGTATCAGATAAATGTAATGGAGATTTTGAGGTAGGCTACTTGTACTTGATACTTTCCATGTTATGCTACTTTGTACTTGTACCCCAATACAATTCAGAGGTCAATTGTGTACAACTCCACTATAGTTATTTAATAACTTTACAGATATGGGTAAATTATGTGAAATATAATCAAGTGTTGAATCAGACTTTAGTTCCACCTGGAGTAAAACCACAAGCTACCCTGCAGTATACAAAGTCATTCAAACTAGCTGCACCTTTACCAGCTTTGAGAACACTTTCATGATCAATCATTATAAAACATATCATAGATATTATTCTGAAATGGACCAATCTGCACAATGATGTTCTACTTTTACTTTTTTAATTACAAGAGCTGATTACTTCTCCCACCTGTGGTTACATGTATAGGCTACCCCCAGCAGAGAATGAATACAGGTTTAACTGTGGATCTTTTCTTTACCACTGGTCGCTTCCACTTGACCACGGCCTGCAGCTCCAGCTCTCCCAGGGGGAAGTGGTAGTCCACGAACAGCCCGTTCCGGCCGACGAGCTTCACGTCCTCGTTCTCCGCGGGCAGGTCCCCGGTCAGGAGGTCCGCCAGCCAGCGGCGGGACTGAGAGCCCAGCAGCTCGTCGGAGCACACCGAGTCCGAGTCATCCTCCGGGGAGGGCAGGGAGGATTCGGACGACACACTCAGTGACTTTATCATGTCGAAAACACCGCGTGCTCTGAACACTGCTCCAAAGAGAATGCTACTTCTGTCTGTCACTCAGAGCAGAACTGCACAGAGCCCCGCCCCGTGGGAGAGGCGCAGGTACATACTACATGCTAACCTCTATGATGCTAACTGATAGCTGCTAACTGATAGCTGCTGACTGTGTGTTCAGTGAGTGAAGCTTACCTGAGCTCAGGTGAGGGTGCTGCTATCACTGCTGCAGGGCTTTCTCTGACAGGCACTTCCAAAAAAAAAGGTGTGGTTTAGTTCAAGTGTAGTTTCCAATAATAGTTTACAGTTATGTACCTAAGTAGATACTCAGCACTTGGTACTAATACTCAAGTGCTTTACTTAAGTATTTTGAGAGACTTGTACTTTACAATTTTGTTGTAATTCTGCCATACTACAATTCAGAGGTTAATCGTTTACTATTTTTCCACTACATGTATTTAATACCTTTAGTTACTTTACAGATGTGGATGAATGACGTGAAATATAATCAAGTGTTGAATCAGACTTTAGTTCCACCTGGAGTAAAGTCCCAAGCTACCCTGCAGTATACAAAGTCATTCAAACTAGCTGCACCTTTACCAGCTTTGAGAACACTTTCATGATCAATCATTATAAAACATATCATATATATATTATTCTGGAATGGACCAATCTGCACGACGACTACTTTAAGTAAATTTCGATGCTTAAACTTATGTACTTTTACTTGAGTGACATTTTGAATGCAGGATTTACAGTAAGGCCAAAATATTAAATTATAGTTTGAGGTAGTTTTACTCAAAATGTCCATTTTAAGTTTCAACTAATATAGTATGACATACTATTTAAATGAGCCCAGAAGTATTTTCTTTTAATATTTAAATTAGCCCCAATTTTAGCTCTGCAACATTACAGCTCTGAACACATCAATGCGGCAATAATTATGTATGATTCTGAAATGGGCCATCCTGTATGACAAATACCTGTGCATTTTGGTACTTATTTTGATGGTGATAGGCTACTAATGTGCTTTTACTTGGGGTATATTGAGGTATTTATTAATGCTTGTACATTTGTACTATTAAAGTGGACCTATCATGCTATATTTGAATAATATAGTGTAGGACCACCATACCTATATAAGGCATATTTATGCTTTTTATTTTTCAAAATACCAAACAGATCATCGCATTATTGAGCCATTCCCTCATTTCGGCTGCAATTTAACACCTGTCTTTCTCATGGGCTGA